ATAATAAAAATTTTATAAAATTGAATTTACCAACGAGTCCTAATTCATCCATAGAATTAATGTTTCATATTTTATCGTGTACCTAAAAACAGGAGCTCCCATGACGACAGTAAGAAATCAATTACTGCATCAAGTTTTAACTGCCCATTTGAGAATCGATAACGATTCATCGTCAACCAGTTATACTATCAACAATAATTTATCGTCGTCTCGTTATATGGTGATCGAACGTATTGAATCACGTTTCAGGCCCAATGGGCTATAAATACGATTCGTGGTGGGAATATACAATTTTAACCCTTTAAGACCATTCATTCATAATATTGTCACGGATAGGATAAATTTCGTCTTCCTTTGAATAATAACGACTCGTGTTTCATTTTCTATCCAAATTGAAAAAAATGATATACAGAATAAATTTATAAATATTTCTAATAATTTGACGAGTTTACTTGCACTCTAAATATCTAACCTATTAAAAATTAATTTCGATCTTTTGTTCTTATTATGTTATAATTAAACATGCGGGGTTTATTACAAAATAATACCTTCGATATTCTATACAAAGAACGGTCAGCCAACGTATCAAGGAACCCTTTATCGAAATTTTCATGGTAAACCACGAGAAGCGTGAACCGTCGAGTTTTTCGTAGAAAATTAAGATTATCAGATAACCCAAGCTCTAATGAAAAATACCAGGGTAGTTAATTTTCATGCCTATCAAATTCTTGTGGTTATTGACGCGTGTTTCCCTGTTGATGACGAGTACAGACATATTTTTCAAACATTTAAATTTTGTAACGATCCTGAACACACTCGCGTCACTCATATGCACAGTTTTTCAAGCTTTTTAAATTGAAAGAATTGAGAGGAAACAGCTTTTAAAGAGGCGTACGTGCGCCGGGGTTAACTAGATGAAGTGGTCGTGGAATTCGATAGATGCGCATGTTGAAAGGTTTAACCGAGATCGACAAAGAATTGAATTTTTTGCGGCTTGAAACGAAGCGATAGGTGAACAATTGAATTCTCTCGAAATAGTCAGTTTTCGTGAAAAATGCGAGGATAATTTTTGAACAAAATTTCGTGATGTTATTAAACGAAACGGAATTTCAATAGTAAAAGCTAATGGATAAATGAAAATTTTTAATAAATTAACACGTGCACTTTTATCTCGCCGCAAATTTTATTCAATGAGCTGATAAAAGAATGAAAAAATAAAGAACCTTTTGAGCTTCGTTAAAATTCTACTCTGTAATTCGAAGCAGTAAATGGAAGCGTCAGATTAAAAGATTAATTCTTGATAACCTTACAGATCTAGCGTACAGGACATGCCTGCTCCTCTGTCACAATGAACGTATAATTAACTCTTTAATTTAGAAAAATGACAAAAATATTTTTATATTACAGCAAACATATTATTTCTTTAAAAATTCATATCTTCGCGCTTTGCTTTCGTATTTGTCACATAAAATTATTTAAAAAAAAGTAAGTTTCGTGAAATTGAAATAAACTATATCAACAAATATTTTCTTATTCCATGTACATATCGTATGTCCCTTATGTATCCATCGAAAAGGACACGTTCCATGAATCCTAGCAAGTTTTTATAAAAATTCGATCCGTCAACACATCCGCTGGATACACGCGAGGAAAAGATAAGGGTGTACGAAACGAGGGTGAAAGGAGATAAACGCAGAATCGATGCAAAAAGATGAGGAGAAAGAGCGAGAAGGAAAATGTTTCCTTCATCGAAGCTAATATAAGTTCGGTATATATAATCGAGAGGAGACGTGTGACCAAGGGATAATTCGAAAGTAAGGGATGCGTCCCTTCGGGAGTGGACGCGACGTAGCATTTTCGAGAGAAACCGGGGACTAACATTTTGATAGAAGAAAGAAAGCTTCTTTCGTTGGTGGAAAGGAAAATTTCATTCTTCGTTCTGATTAGGTACTAGGTTCATGTAAAATTTATATTTGCTCGAATGTCTTCCTGAAACAATCGTGGAAGAAAGAAAAGAGCAAAAAATGAAAAAGAAGGGCAGGATTCTGGAATTTCAATTTCCAAAATGAGGAATTCGATCATAATTTCTTAGAATATTTCATTACAGAATAATAAATTTATGAAAGAACAAAAATGAAAATATTCTAAAGAACTTTATCATACTGATTGTGAGTATTATCCACAATTTGAAAATCAAATACATATTCCATGGCCTGTCGCGCGCGTATATATTACTCCAATATTGAAATTTCCATCAAACATGCAGTTTATCATTGTTAAACATAATGCGATTCATCAAAGTGTGATTGATAAACGCGTAGAAGTAACTGTTGTCACATGAATTGGTTGAATTTTATTAAATTTAATAAAATTCAATTTCTTCCTCCCTTTGTGCTTTTCGATAATTGTGTTTACACACAAAATGAAAAAATCGAAAAAAGATCGTACAATGCAAGGGATACACGTTTAAATTCCCTTTCAATTATAATAATGAAACGTATACGAAAATGCACGTATTATATTCCATATGCAAATATTGAGCTGTATTTCATGACAAAAATTACAACACCTTTTGTTCTTTATTTTCATACATTCGTTCGACAGCACGTGAACTTTCATTAAATGGATGAAAATGTATTTCGTTACAATATTGAAGGAACGAGAGTGGAAAACGAACGAACGTTCTGTAAAAAAAAATATTAAAGGAACAAAATTGAATGATAACACGTTGATTGGCAAATCGATTATCGATTACCAATACTACGAATTTAATTTAGTGAAATAATTAAAAGAAAGAAACAGAACGAAGAAAATACTTGTTATCATTGAAATTACATTAGCAAAACGAAATAATAGTTAAATCATCTTTTTGGCATATAGCATTCCTTAACCCTTGAATAAGGGAGCCTGAATCTTCTTGCGGCTCTCTCCATGGTCCGCCGTCCGAGGGTTAACAGAATTTCTACTTTTCGCAAAACACCTAAATGTCTAACCGAGTGTCTATCATTTCACGTACAATGGAACGAGCTCTAAAATGGATGAACTTCCAGGGACAAAGGTTGCACATCAATTTCCTAGCTTTCGTTAAGAACAACCGATAAAAAAGGAAGAAATTGTAGCTTACTCCCTGCGGAGGTAGTCTTGGTTACACGACGTAACACGAAAGCACGTCTCTTTCTTCCCGGAAGTAAAAAGCAGCAGGGAAAGAAAAAACGCGAACAGTTAACCAGCACTTCCCCGCTAACCTAGAATTATCCTGCACGCGTTATCGACGTTAATTGATCGATCCTACTCGACCGAGGAGATTAATGGACCAAATACTTCCGTTCGTTACGGTTCGCTTAACAGTGTCGCGAAAAGACCTCGATCATCGTGCCAAGGCTTGATATCGTTAAACGAAAAAAAGAGCGCACCCATTAATGGACTGACACTTGCTGAATGAATTACATCTATCTTTCATTGCAACCAAGCTTTGCAGATAAAGAGAATTTTATAAAACTCTTAAACGCGTAAAAATGCGCGAATAATGCTTTATTTTAAATGAAGCAGTAATGGCGATAAGCGAACATGCGATATCATGAAATTCATATAAACGTAATAATAGAAGGAATCGAACGGCTGAAATGAAATTTGATAAAAAATTTTGTATGATTCTAATAGCAGTTGAATACAGTTAGCGAGCTCGGATTTCTACTGTTCCTCTGTTTGAGTTGAAAATGTGCCAATTCTATCCGTTCAGAAATATTCCTATTGCACTTTGCACTATTTACGTTGAAATAATGCGTTTCAGAACAGGTAGCCATCGCAGCATTTCATCTCTCCTATGCTCATTAATACTTTTTCAATTCAAATCACAGTAAAACATTCTCGGAATGAAATTCTATTTTTACTGAACTTTCAACGGTAATCAACAAAACATATCGCCGCCATAAATACGTTCACGATATTCCATTCTCAAACTCATAAACGTATTCCACTTTTTTGCTCGTAAAACCGAACTGCTGGCTATTAATATTATTTATTGACATTCAAAGGATTAATTCAAGAATTCATAACTTGGTTGGTTTTATAACGAATAAAAATTTCAAGAGCTTATTGCGAATTTTATCGGATTACAGATTAATTATATCTATTTCGGTTCAAATAAACATTCATTTTGCAATAAATATTTTTCTGATACACTTGAATAATTATTTACGAATCACTGAAAAATATTTATTTAATGGAGATAAATATTTAGTGTAAACAAAAATGAACATGTATCTTTCGATAATTATCCCGTTCATTAATTTTCGAAAGAAATGTCCTCAATATTAAAATACCATAAAAAATTAATATCGTATCAAAACAGAAGGGAAATATTTTCCATGAAAACTCTGTGGAAATCTAAAACATCTCTGAGTTGGTGCGTTTAATTTCACCGGAAATTAGTATTCATACGATAACCTCTGGCTCCCTGGAGTTATTATCGTATCATCGAAACGTTTGTGTTCCATGAATTGATTTATTAATGTAATCGATAACCGTGTATTAAACGTGTATAAGCCAATTTACATTATCTGTTTAGATACGAAAGGATTGATACAACGGGCAGGTTAAGACAAATGTTTGTTTAGCTGTTTAATTATACAGCGTTGTATGGTGTACTGTCAAATAAACTACTATTAAATTTCATATTAAATTATTAGTGTTGCCTGTCCCATTTAATTAAAAACAAGATGAGAAGGATTTGTAATATTTTATTTGGCCCACCCTGTAAATTCAAAATATAAAATTAAATTTTTGCCATGGATTTTAAATTATATTCGGCTCAATGTATAAAGTCCATCACACGACCTGTTTTGAAAGGTGTTATGTTGTGTAAATGTGTAATAAAAATACATCCAAATCCAATGGAGCTTAAATAGAATCAATAGCACGAGTAAACTTTGAAGGGTGTTGCTTCGAAAAGCAATGAAATTTTAAAATAAAACTGGAATTGATAAAAAATTCTAACTTACTCGTTCTCGAACGACGACTCTGTTCACTCTGTTATAGTCCATTTCCAAAAAACTGATCTGTAAAAGAAATAACTTGTCACTGTGGAAACTTTCTTGTTAAAATTTCCCTAACTTATCAAATGTTTCCAAAAAGCTAATAACATGAAAATTGATACGAAACATTGAAAATAAATAAAAAACTTATGGTATTTCTGTCATTTTTATGTACTACTTCTTTCTTATATGAAAGAGGACAACGTGATTCTTCTGCAATGCCTTCTTAAGAAGAAAAATAACAACTTATACACAGCCTAATATCATTATTAAAACGAATGCAAAAATCTTATTCATCCCATTAGATCCAATCTCCTTTATTCAACTACTTTCTCGGTATGAAAACAGGCAGTATTACTTCCATCTCCCTGCTTTGAAAACATACCATTCCATTCAAGAAAAGAAACATGAATATGAAACTAAATATCACGGAGAGATATTACGGACAGAGCTTAAGCCGTAATTTGAAAGAAGAAGATAGTGAATGTTTAATACACCAAATATTCAATTATATTAAATTTGTAATCAATGTGTTAATAAAATTGTAAAAATAATTTGAAAATGTTTAAAGAGGACCAAAGCTCCACAAAATTCAATATGAATGCTCTATTGATTAGATAAGAAGAAGATCGGATTTTAACTGGTATTAAGTAACTTTATGAAGCATTAAAAGCGATAGAAGATCGTCTTCGAAATTTCCACGTGAAAAAGGGCCGTATTGACCGCACCAGACCTGCTTTTTATCGTATAGAACGCGTTTGCACAATGTGGTAATGGGGGTCCAGTCGATCTGGTAACAGCTAGCAGAATTCTATTTGAAAGAGCCCGTTTCAGTATCTTCTTTTGATCTCTTTTTTATCTGACGGGAAAAAAATGGGCTGGATACGAGGAGGACCATGCATTCTAACCACGTGTCGACCTATTTCCGCTGATTAACAACTGTTCACTCCCCGGTGGACTTCCTTATATATCGACTGAAGAATGGCACGTCCCACAAAACCTTGTCCTTATATCCCAGGAATGTCGATTAGCATCGAACGTGCCTGAACCGGAAAAAATGTAACCCTTTTAAAAATATAACGAATTTTATCAGATCAATACTGATCAGATACACTAAATTTCACAGAATATAATAATGATTACTTGAGGGGGATCAAACTAATTGCCGAAACTTAAAAAAAATAAAGAAACAATGATTCAAATAGAAATTTGACAATTTTTGTTTTTTATTACTGAAGGTAGACAAATTATTCAGATAATTAATTTTAAATACCTCGACCCGTAAATGGTACTTAAAATTGTATGAAAAGAAAAGAAACAAAAACGTATTAAGCATTCACGGTGCCACGTATCGCTTTTGCGTCCGTCCGTTTGCTAGTCCAACTTATTTATCTTGAAATACGGTATACGTTGAAAAAACCCTGCACAGCCATTCCGGCAGCCGTAAAAACGCGGCTTCTCGAGTGAGTAGCGCAATTAACCTGGCCAAACCCAGGGTTATATTCATTTCAACCCTTTTGTACCACTTCGGTGTCGTCGCTGGCCGGCTTAAAAGAGTTACCTGACAATTTTTACCGTCACAATAAAAGGCTCGACTCGGAGGACTCGGTTCAACGAACACCGGATGTATTTATTTTCAACGAAATATCACAGAAAATTTGCTCGACGGTTTATTTATTTCAATTACCTTCAGTAACGCGTGTTCTCTGTATGTTTCGTGCAAAAAACAGTTTCTCTATAATAAATTTTCAGCCTTTAATCATTAATGAATTGCATTTAATAACGGTATTAATACCGCAACAACTAACACTGGATACGCCTACTTTTAACCTTCCGACACCTATTAACACCTACAATGAATAACAATGGAACGAACAGTTGTTTGAAACCCTATAAGAGGATATTTATAAGAGTTCTTCACGGCTTTACGAATCGCTTATTTCACGCAAACGACTTGCAATTCAAGTGCAAGCAACCCTTTCACGATCGCTGGATATTCAGAAGATGATATTCCCATGGGTACAAAGTAATTAATCCTTGCAACAAGCAGGTTATTTAGTACGTCCCTTTGTGCTCGTCTCGTCTCTACGAGTGATTCGCGTTTAATTAACAAGCCGATCTCGTGTCCAACGCACGCGAAACGAGTAAAAGGGTGAAGAAATGTTTTCAACTGGATCCTCCAACGGCCCACTATACAGGATGATATTTGATCACGAAATACCATAGATGAAGATGAGAAAATGGATATACAGGATGTGGCAAAAATAATTAACCGATTTTAATTAGACCTTACTTCTGTACTATATTGAAAATTATTATTATTTGAATCTTTACATTGAAAGAACGCATCACAATTTTTTTAATAATATTAGACAGCTTTTATAGCTTCAGATTTTTATTTTGCAAGGATATTTAACCTTTTCGCTGCCGAAAATCTTTTTGTACAGCATCGAGCATAGTAGGCTTCCCTAGGGGTGAAAGAGAAAGCAGAAATAAAAATCGTTTTTAATTAATTACTTCTACCATATCATGTATTTACACATTCGGGTTGTAATTCTAGATAATTAGAACATTCGTCTTTTGACATTTGGTGAATTTTAACCCGAACCATTAGTGATCCATGAATTTTGCACGCCCGTTGCAATGCTAGTGACGAGATATGTATCTATATTTGAACGCGGATATGAATAACGCGTCGCTGTAAATCACCAGTAATTAACGAGCGGAGGGAAATATTAATTGGGTCAAGAAATTTAAAAAGAGTAGTTCTATTTTTGTATGCAATTAATGATGGCCTCGTTTGTCTCCTGTTATTTCTATTAATCTGTTCAAGCTAGAGAATCACTGTTCTAGAAACAATACGAAACAAGTGCAATTACGAAACTCGTTGAAAGAAATAAATCGCACGGTGTTAAAAATAGCATGTTCATTTTTTAACACATTCGAGCTGTTTAGGAGGAAAATTCAATTAAAATGTAAGAAGATCAATTAAAATATTTGAAACAGTAATTCGAACAATTATTATTATTTTATTTAGCGAAATTGCAGTATAATGGAGCGAAGGATTAAAACGTGTATTTTTAATAAAGGCACCTTTTCAACTACACCTATCGACAGTTTCAGCTTCAGTGTAATCCCCCAGCAGATTGGGTATTTCGAGTTTACAAAACTGAGGGGATATAGTCCAATTAAAAGTGACAAACATTCACTGTTTGAAAAATTTCTAATCTTTTGATACAGAGAAAAATTCAACCAAAATATAAAAAGCCGTATTAAAACCTTTAGTTCAGTTGAAAAATAAATCCTTAACGCCCTGATAATTAATAAACAAATGAACCAAACTAGAATTTTTAAAATTGTCAAAAATTCATTGCACTGTGGTAAGAGATTGAATGCTACAGTTTAACAAATCTAGCGGATTAAGGTTCAATTAAAACTGACGAGCATCCGCCCAAAAAATTTCATATTTTGTTATGTTCGAGTAAACTGTTGTCGGTTATCGTAGAAAGCACAACTACTTCTATAGTATCAACTGTACTATTAGTAACATAGACACGTATTGAAATTAACTAACACAGAGTTTGAAAATTGTCAGAACCTGACTATACTGCTATAGCAGATTGGATGCTCAAGTTTTAAAGAGTTACAAAGGCGCAGGCTAATTAGAACTGACAAATGTTCATTTTTGTCTATAAAGTTCTTAATATTTTCATGCCGAGAGAGATTTCACGAGAATACGAAGATACGTTTCATCTAACGAAAGGCAATTATGTCTTCGACAATAATAAAAATGTTAATTGTAAGATGTGCTACGTTGCTCGCGTTCGGCGCTGTCTGCAGAACTGCAACGTTAATTAACTGAGTTCCAGCGACGGGGTTGTCGGAAGCGTAAACTAATTAACGACGGATCCTTTTTTTTTCCCCCGCTCATCCTTTTCACCCATTTCTCACACGTCCGCACGTATCTTAATTCGGAATCTTCCACCACTGTATACGACGTACCTTTGACTATTTCGAAATCCTGAAAAATTTCTCCGTTTTATAAGAAACGTGACGTGCCAAGGAACTTCCACTACCACGTCGAACCTTAATTTAAACCAGAAACTTCGTGCAATGTTGTATCGTTCGGAAAACTTGAGTCGAATGAAATTTAACTGAAATTTCGTTCGAAGCGAAAGTCAAGCCTGGAATTTATTCGGACGAAAAGCGCAACGGAGTTGCACGCTGAAATCGATGCGTAAATTAACCAAAGTTACACTTGAACTGGGAATTCTAACGCGGTTAAACTGAACGCTCGTCCAACCGCATGGTTGAATTTATAAGCTTTGTTTGTTGTATTTAAAGTATTTATCTCTCTCCGATCAGGAGAGAAATTGGGCAGCGATAAATGGTTGTTTATCGTTTGTCCATGCAACAATTTGAACAATGAGTGCTCAAATTTATGAAATGTTATTACACCAGCTGCAAAACGATAATAATACGTTATGCAGATCCTTTGACAGACTGATAATTATCATTTGTTATTATATATCGAATAGCCAATTTCGAAACGTATCGAGTGTGGCTAGTTGATATTGAAGAATTTAATAGAATATCGTTCGGTGTTCATTTATTCCGCGCCATAAAATGTAAAAGTCAACGAAATAAACTGCCACGCTGAACGTATCAATAACAAAGTCAATAACGAATAACAGGATTTACTGACAAAGTCGATAATTGTGTCGCCTTTCGAACAGCTTTGAGCAGAGATACACAATCGAGTATCGTGTCGCGAGGCGAAGGAATCGATACTCGATTGTCTCGGCATCGAATACTATCGAGGCGATTATAGAAGCCATAATCAATCAGCTGTTTCGTTTCGATCCCAGCAACGTTAATTCCGTCTTATTAAGAATGTATTTGCAATCGTTAATAAGCTATTTTTAATATTTTCATACAGTGAAAATAAAAAATGAAAAGCAACTTTTAAAAAATTAATTTTGTTAAAAAATACTTTGAAATAAAAATTTTCTTGCTACTCTGCA